ATAAGAGCTGCCAGTTTCCTCTCAGAGCTTCCAGTGGAGCCATGTGATGTTACCATCCCATTTAAAAAGCCAGGCACCAATCATACAACATGGCCACAGCTTAGTTTAAAAGCCACCATTATGCATCTCCTTACCCTTGTAAATGGAGAAGGAAACAACCAACATCTGTGTGACACTGGCATCTCGGCCAATAGACCAGGGGCTGAACCTGACTCCTCCAAAACAAAAAGATGCTTTAGCCTGTGCCCACTTTTTCACAGGAAGTGCCACAAAAGACATCCAAACTCTGCAGACTAGTCATCTGAGGGGTCCATGAGACAATTTTTCCACAGCTAATCTCAGCTGCTCAATATTTAGAAGTGTCCAAACACAGACCTAATTGCTGCTTTCCACTGCCAATGACAAGTGCATCCACAGGGAGATACTTCTGCTCCCCTTCCAGTCAGATGCATTAGTGAACCCTGTAGAGAGCACAGCTGCCATGAAAATGGCCAGGGCTGAATTTTTCAAAGCCGTGCTGATCTAACTGCATAGCCACCAAATGCAGAAACAAAACTTCCATAAACAGCAGAGTTCAGCAACAGCTAAGATCATGTCTCCATTTCACTAAAAGTTCAGCTCTCAGACTCCCAGCCCCTGGATGAAGGGTACCAGACCTGTGAGTCTCCGTGCATTTTTCAGGCACTAAGCATAGCTGTAATTAAGAATTGTTAAAAAGAGTATCACTGGTTAACTACATTTGCAGGCTACATTCTGAATCAAGTGTTGCCTGTCCTCTTACAGCTGCCAAAAAGTCATAGAAGAGCCAAATTGTGCAATCAGTGAATTCAGCAGAATCACAGACACAGGCCCACCACCTCACCCAGACCAATTTCCCACTGCTTGGCAATCCACAGTGCACTGATCTGGTATTAATGAGTGTGCAATCACTCTCTCAGTGCTGACAAATAGGAATTGGACCCAGAGGATCTCTCCTTGTATGCAGAAGTTGAACATTTTTACCTGCTCCTACTGACAAAACTGGAATGTCTCCAAGCCCACCTCCTCATACATTCTGGCACAACGGAAAAAAGACAGCAGGAAATTGAGAGAGAAATGGATGACAGTGGGGAGGAGAAGATCCACTGTATTGAGTCTGGTCCCATGGAGCAAAGCCACAATAATAATGACTGGCATAAAAGAGTCCCAAGATAAGCAATACAACAATTGTCACAACTGTTGCTCATAAGAGAATGACTATGACAGCTAAACACAGTCAACTTCCCCAAACGATGAGGAACATATGATAGTGCTTTCCAAGTGTTTGGGAAGTATAAATTACTTTACAGCTTTGTTCTGATAAGAGTTACTTTCCAAAGGATCTTTTAATTTAAGGGCCTGTTTGCAAAGAGATATGCAAGCGCCAAGACGCAAAACAACAACATGTCTGTTCTAACAAAGGAATGAAAGTATTTACAGTGCTGGTGATAGCAACAAGTAGCAGGATGAAATGTAAAAAAAAAGAATTGTGACAAGTATCAGATTTAATATATCACACATTTCTAGCATGGAAAATTTTGAAAATATTCCAGCACTCTGTGACATCTTTTCTAACATTAATGATCTAGCCAAGCATATCAAACACAGACAGCAGAAAGGGCAATGCCTGCTATCAGGCACGAGCCACACAGCCTCTTCTCATCTTTTAACCTGAGTGATCAGGCATGTAATGTGACATCTTCCCAGTTCTCAGTGGATACACAAATATATAAAAAACTGAAGTGTAACCATGTTATTACCTCTCTCAGAAAGCTGAAAGGGCTACCAGCACTTTCTGCATACCTTTTTCACCACAGTAGTGTCCACATACATTACAATTCCAGCTCTGGGGTCCCCAACACAAGGAAGATGTTGACCTGTTGGAACAAGTCTAGTTGATCAGAGGGCTGGAGCACCTCATCTGTGAAGAAAAACTGAGAGCTGAGACTGTTCAGCCAGGAGAAGGCTCCAGAGAGACCTTAATGCTGCCTTGTGGTACCTAAAGGGGACTTAAAAGAACACTGAAGAGGGACTTTTCACAAGGGCATGGAGTGACAAGACAGGGGGCAGCAGTTTTAAGATAAAGGAGACTAGATTTAGACTAGGTATTAAGAAGAAGTTCTTCCCTGTGAGGGTGGTGAGGCAATGGCACAGGTTGCCCAGACAGGTTGTGGACTAACCACCCCTGGGAAGAGTCCAAGGCCACACTGGGTGGGGTTTTGAAAAACCTTGTCTCATGGAAGGTTCCCTGCCCACGGTAGTGGGGTTGGAAGTAGATGATGTTTAAGGTTCCTTCCAACTCTAACAATTCTATGGTTCTCTGATTCTACAGTGCAAAATAAGCCCTACAACCATTATAAAAAATCTACAGATCCATTATCCCAAGCTGATACTTGACACTGCTTTTTCAAATTATATTTGTCTCTCTAAGTGATGATTTGTGGACATAGCAGGGCTTACAGAAAACCAGAAAACTTTTAAGAGGTAGTCAGGACTCCTATGACTTTTGCATCAATACTCAGACAGTCTGGACGCTGTCAGTGGCTTCCAGTGACTTCAGTGGGGTGAGGTTTCCCATTTTCTTTTTATCAAGACATTGCTATCAGAGGAATAAAATTCATCCATTTTTAAACTAGCATGTTCCTTATCATCAGGCAAGGTTTCATAAGAGACAGGAAAAGCCGATTTATGTATCTCTCTGTCCAGAATTTTTCTCGGAGGAAGTCCTACCCTGTTCTACCTAAAAAGCAAGAAACAAAAACAAAACATTTTCTTACATATCACTTACAAGGGCTCCTCACAGACGTTAGACAATTTTATCTCAGAATTCTTATGTGAAAACATCACTAAAAATCAACATAAATGGTACCAGCAGGACGTGTTGTTTTGATCATCACGTGTTGTTTTGAACTTCAGCTTCTGAAGTTTGCAGGCTGAACCACTCAGACACCAAAGGTATGCACAACTTCACTCTTAAGCACTGTCCTTTGTCGTGCCATCTATAAGGTCACAGTAATGACAGTGACCCCCTACTGATAGGAATGTGCCAAAAATATCAGACAAGGTTTAAAATAAAGCCCCCTATATTGCCATAGCTGTGTTTGTTTGCCATGGTAAGTATGCACAAGGGCAACTGGAATGAATTCTAATCAACAGAAGTTTGGGGTTCTCCCGACTATTTTGTTTTCCCTAGAATGACTTAGCAGATTGTTGCCAGTCCAGGTAACATACCAAAATAATTTGAAGACAAATTAAGTTCTAGAAGCTGCTTTCATACATTCATGTGACTCCCAACAGAGACTCAGCCCTTTCGACTACCACTAATTCAAATCAGATTAAGGGCACTGAGGGCACTGCAGGAACCAACTGCATGTGTTTGCTGAGGACAGAAGGGAGTCGTGTAGCTAAACCCTGAGTGAGCTCACAGACTAATGGATTTAACAAAGTTCATTTGAACACTTGGGTCAGTTTGATTCTTTTGACGTGGACACAATCTCTGCATGGATCAAGGGCAAGGAAAGGCCTGTTAAAAGATAATTTTCAGAAGGCATGTTGCAACAGAAATGTTAGAACTTGTATGAGGAAAGTATGAATGTGAGCGAAGGGAAGAGAGAAAGTGCCAGAAGAAACAAGAGACAAAGGGTTAAAAAGAAAGGCATGCATTATTCACCACACAGCACTATAAGCATGGTTTCACTGAAACAGAAAAGATAAGCTGCAAAGAGGGTGAAGAATATATCTGGAAACATAAAATACTCTGATAAGGAAAACATCAGAACTGTGAAATTCAGTAACGTTGCACAAGACTTGAAAGAATGTTGAAAAGGTGAAAAAAATAATTTATGTTAAAGATCCATGCTAGCACTCATTGCTAAAGACTACAAAAGAAATGCAATTCTAAACCCCACTCGCCACTGCCAGCTGAGTCCCAGAGGTGCAACAGGGTTCAGGAGCCACCATGGAACTGGGTCATCAGTTCATTCACATCTGAGCCATGCTACGATTTAATATAATTATTAACAACAGGATACAAACTTCCCTTATTCAATGGCCCACCACAGAGAAAGGGCTCTGCTATAAAACTGAGTGAGAAAAAACATGCAAGTAAAAATGAAGTCCAAACTCATCTAGATGAATTTTCAGTAAATCCAGAAGCTTAGACATAATTCAGGGAATACAGAACTATAAAGATGACACCAAGACAAGTGATGAGGCTGACAGCCCTGAAGGACGAGATGCCATTCAGAGGGACCTGGACAAGTTTGAGAAGTGGGCCCAGAGGAGTCTCATCAAGTCCAATAAGGCCAAGTGCAAGGTCCTGCACCTGGGATGAGGCAATCCCAAGCACAAATGTGATTCTACGAAGATAACAAGCAGCTTGAAGAACAAATTCAAAGAGGAAGAATTACAGAACTGCAGGAAGAAGTCATCATGGCTAGGCTTTGCAAACAAAGATTTGGGAAGCATGCTAGAGTTAATTTGGGTACATCTTTTGAGGCAGGTGTATATGCCTTTGTCTTTTGATCTTTGTGTGACTGCATTTGTAGAAGACGGCCGTTTCGACCCTCGCCTGGCTTTGCAAATGTGGGTAAGGCCTTCAAGCCTGTGCAGTGGATTTTTTAGGTGAGACACAGTATGCACGGAACTGAACCCACCTTTTAATCCCAAGGTTCATCTGCCAGGGCCGAGCAAGCTTGGACCGTGGCAGCGAGGTCCTCAGGATGTAGGTTTAATTAGAGTGACCTTCTCTTAGATGGATGGCCTTACAGGGCTGAACGAGCTCCATCTGCCCGAGTTTAGAGTTGTCCTTCTCCTTTGTGTGCTCCGAGGCTCCCCCTCTCATGTCCCACAAGGGTATAGTCCACGCCGGCAAAGCTCCTCCTCTCTCACTCCTTTCCACGCCCAGGGCTGGGGACCGCTGGAGGCCACCCTGTGCCCAGGGCGCCTGGGAAGGGGGTGGCCCCACCGTGGGCCCCGGGGCGGACCCGCGCCAAGTGGAGGTTCCAGCAGGCAGGGGTTGCCCCGTGCCCACACAGGAGGAAGTACTGACTAACAAACATGGTACTGCCATAACCAGTGGCAGGCCACAGGATTTTTATGAACTCTTTAAGGCCTTCAGTCTTGCCTGGCTGTGTCTTGGCCAGCATGAAGCTTTGATTTATCTTGCAGAGCAAAATCAGTCTGCTGTTACCCAGCAGGTAAAAGAAAAAATCCTGCTGCTACTCAGCAGGTAACAACCAGGTTACTGTTCCCTCCATCAACTGGAGCTCATATTTGTGCAGTTGTGTGGTGCAATGCCTATGAGTAAAATATTTTTGGTATATTTCTGCAATTAAGAACCTTGACATGAAACTGTTTTATGTGAAACAAACTACCTACAAACCTAGAATAAAACTGCAGCACAGATTAGAAAATAAACTCTTGGCTCTGTGTAGAAGGTATATTTCCTATATCCTACATAAGCTGCAGAGCAACAAAAGGAACCCATTATCTGATTAATTAACAATAAAAAAAATCCTATCAGTCTGAAATGGTTAGTCATTTTTAACTGAATTCTCTCCAGAGTTACTAGCCACAGAATATTTCTCTAAATGATGTGATAGAGTTTGGTAGTATCCAGGACCTTATAACATATTTTAACTTATTCTCACCTCAGTAATTTTGTCTTTGATTTGAATGTCGTTACTGATTTTCCTCCTAAGTCATGAAACCTGATGATTATCCATAAATCAAAGTATTTTAGGATAACTTTAAAATGGGACTTTCAAGGACCCTTAGATAAAAAATTACAAACTACATATATGCATTCTAAAATCATGAGAGAGATACTCATAATTTAAAATATTTACTTGAAAACTATTCTTTTAACATAACACTCCTTGATTCATCTTTTCCTGTTTTTCTGAGCTCTTGGAAGGCGTATCTTCCTATGACAAAGCTTTTCACTGAAAGCACTGTGCATAGGACTAAAACAAAAAGCAAGAGAGACACAGATTATGTAGCCACTGTACACTGGAAGCAAAGGCTTTAAGCACGAAGTATAATTCTACAAACCCATTTTGTAAAAAACCTACATCATCAGCACAAGATGTTGCACAAATGGTCCTTGGAGGTTACAAGAAGAATGGAAATGCTTGCATTTCCTTCTGGATGGTAGTAGATCTCTGCTGGACGCAATGCAGGAAGGTTTTTTTTCAATGTATAATAGTGGCATCAGAAATGTTTTTATTGGAGGTCAGTTCCACTGACCAGCCCCACATGTAAGTGGGGCACTGGTGCACGCATAGAAAAATGACTGTTTAACACCATTTTCACAAGTGACATTTTGTTTTGAGACACTGCAGGATATGGGCTGACAAGAACAGGCTGTCTAACTGATTTAAAATCACTGGAGTGAAACATGATTGGTATGCTGTTTATCTCCATACGAATCAAATGCCTTTACTCTCTCACTCACATTTACTAAAATGGCATCTGACTAACAAAACCTGCTGTCCTCCAGGTAATATGATAATCACAAAGGTCAGGTGGAAGGAGAAATTTGGGGGGAGAGGGAATCTCAGTTCAGCTTGCTATTATGGTACCACAGTAGAAAACAGAAAATGAATTCTGTTATCCAGAAAATCTTATAAAATTATCCTTTATTTACACACAGACCAACAAACCTATGGTGTGAAGGAAAAATAACTTAGTTAAAATCAGTACAAATTTTAGAGAACAGATGCCTTTGTTTCACCTTCAGCTTAGATAAGCTTAATATAATTTTAAAAGTGCTATATTCTAAGCCAAAGAAAGAAAAAGCACATATAAATTACTGTGTCACTATCACAGTCTTCACTGGCCTATAGCACAGAGACTTCTCAGGCTGAAGACACTGATCTCTGTTCCTTGAGGCAATGCAGTAAATACTGCTATTGAAATAGTTATTTGCTTCCTACACTGGTAGTGAAAAAAAAAAGGTGACAGAAACCAACTAGTTGTCAATCTTAAACTTGCAGCAGCTACATTTTCTTTGCTTGTTTTGTTTTTTTGTCTTTTTAGGTGCAAGTACAGAATATGTTAAAGTGTAGGCTTGCACACTGAGACTGTGAAATGTCCTCTCCAGGGCTATGAAGACACTTTACCTAAAATTAGGTAAGGTAAAATAACAGAGAACATACTGCAACTACATAGAGCCATTAAAGTTAGGATAAATTTAACTCTGCAAAGGTATTCCTTTCAAAACCAGAACTTCTCAACAAAAAGCTGTTTGAATTTTAAAAATCCTTTCCACTACCCTGAGCTGACAGAGTGTACGTTTTGTGTGTCCTTGCCAGAGGAAAAAGAGAGGAAAGAAGTCAGAGGTAAAAAGAACTCTACCCTCGGAAAGTAATTGTTTTCAAAACAGTCAATTTAATTTTCAACCTGAACATTTTGTAAATTTACTATGGCTATAAGCCTTTTTAATGAGCTTAAAAACACCCAAAAAACCCTGAAAGACTGAACAAGCTCTAACTTTCAAAATACAAAATTAAAGATATAACCATAGTTTTTCTCTCTCTTTTCGCTTTTCTCCCGCTTTCCCCTTGAGGGTTTAAGCATGTTACTTGTGGATCAACAGCATTTTTTGATCATGTCAAACAGCAGTTTTTCCACATTTCCCTTAATCTCTTTCACAGGTTCTCAAAAACAAGCACAAGCTCAGTAAACCTTTAGCTGGGTTGGTGAATGTGCCTTCTGTTTACATTTAGCGTTAATATTTTATTATTTCTTAACACTTTGGTTCTAGGAAGCAGAGGGAGGGCTGTTAAAATAAAAACAAATAAACCCCAGGATCACTTTCTAAAAGGGCAAGTTGTTCTGCAGAGATAGTTTTTACTAATGGAGAGGTTCTTGTGGCTGGCATTTGCAAACCTATTGCCTTGCCTCAAAAGTCAGTGAATAAGGCTGCTTTTTTCAGCTGTTGTACATCATGGCAAACACAGAAAACAACTCACCCTACCCCAAGCACAGTGTATTCCCCCTTGCTATTCCCTGACGAGTGAAATGGAAGCTATATACCTCTGGGACTAGGTTTTAATTTTTTGCTTGTTCTATTCCTGTTACAGGTCTCCTTGGAGAATTTGACTTGTTACTGGAAGTGAAATGCTTTATCAAAAATAAACAAAGCCAAAACAAAGAAAAGAACTCTATGTGTGCCACACACCCTGGTCTTTCTAAGTACTGTTTACATTGACATAAAGATCTCATGTATTCTTATTAACATTATTCCTGTCTCACTCAAAAACACACTTCCTCCCTGTTTCTCTCCCTGCTTCCATTACTTTCAACTCTCCATCCTTTCTTCTTTCCTTATTTTCTTCAGGTAGAACAAGCGAGGCACCAGCCTGCCTGCCCCACAGCAAGTCAGCTCCTATATTTTGCTAATAAAGAAAGAAACAACAAAAGCCCAGCACCCTTCCCCCCCCCCCCCTCCGCTCTTTGACAGAGGCATAAATTCAGGTGACTGCCACCTCTACCTCCCAGACACGGTTATTGATGAGCCAAAAACCCACGTCAGTCCTCAAGAGCTCAGGTTGTTCTCCTTATTTCTCAGTCCCTCAGTTAGCAGTTTCAGATTTGAGAATGAAAGAGACTCGTGTCTGTTACTCTCCTGTTTCAGAAAACACTCTCCAACACTTGAAACAGGTAACCCTTTGAAGCAGTTGCTACCCATTTCTGATGATGAACAGGCAGGAAACACATCTACATATTTGATAGCCTATCTATCCCAGAATTCTAATTTTGTTTAGGACCCAAAACTGAACAATATATTAGGCCTAATTCTACACTCAAAGCCAAATTACCCTCAGATTCAATAACAGGAAGCTTTGCATCCTTTTCCAACTTGAGGGTTTGTAGCAAGATAAAAGACATCCAAATGCATTTCTCATATGAATAACTATTCTGTTAAACATATCCCTTTTTTGGCATTATGCAGGTTTGTAATGCATGAAGGCATGAATCTGTCACCTTGAAGGCACATCCAAGTGGCAGTGAATATAAATTATTCCACTTAGCAAGGAACCCAAAATTCTCATTACACTGCAGCTTATAACAACCATTTAGACACCTACTATGATCCTTACTGTCAGCAAGAGGGAACTGAACACCTTTTTAAAGAATCAGTCTAGAGGGGTTTGTGCCTCTGGTGAAACCAGCCCGTCCCACAAGAAGAAACAAAACAGGGACTTGCCAGTGAGTAAATACATCCTCAAATGTAGTATTTTAAAAACTGGAACGTGCAAACATTTAAAGCAAATATCTTACATATGATTCTTGTTTTCTGAAGCCATATTGTAAATCCCAGGGGTTTATTTAGCCAAGGTAGCATAAACCAAATGCTGGGCCATGTGGTGTGAACAGAGAGGCACTGAGGCAACCTGAGGAGAACCTGCAGCAGCTTTAGCTCTGATCCTCAGTAAAAAACACAGCCTCCTTCAAGCTAAGATCCTTCACTCCTAGACCTTAGGCCAGATCAGACCTGTAATCAAAGAATAACATTTAAAATAGAACTTGGATAGAGAAAACTGAAAAAAACTTTCAGAAAAGTGAAACTAGAGCCTCCCCATCTTTCATTTTCTTGGATTTTCCTTATCATTATCATTAAATGCTCAAAGGAGAAGCATTTACATGCATGAAAGCTGGATTCTTTACACTCAGTGAACTTAAAACTTATCTGATTTGTTCTCAGAGAGGCATAATAACTTTGATGAGCTGCCAACAATGAAGACTGTTTTAGCAGGAATAAAGTGGTAAGACTATTTAAAGTGGTAAGACAATTTAAGTTAACTGGAAAGTTACTTGAGGTTAGTATTATTTGCTCGGTCTCAGGAGTAACTGAAAGGGCAAAAAAGCAATTAGGAACAAAGAAACTAGAATATTAAGCTGTGTTTTACAGCAGATTTCAGAAAATCAGTACAAAGTCTCACTTTAATGAACTATGCAACATCACATACTACTAAGCAATGGAAATGAGATTAAAGAAACTGTTGATAGACTCATAAAGCTTCAGTTTTGCTTTTAAGAGCTGCTGCATACGGACAAGCTCTTATATGAGGCTTTGGATAATTTAAATGTTTGTTATTTCTGCTGTGTTTTCCTCCATGTCCCTATGCACAACTTCTGAATCAAGAAGTCCTTCAAACACAACAAGTCTTGATTATAAAAAGGCAGGGTGCTTTTTTTAAGTGTTTGCTATCACAATCAAGAATTAAAGAACAGTAATCCAAAATTCTTTTGGAGTGCCATTTCCAAATGTTGTTCATTTGCCTGTCATCAGCAATGGCAGGCTTTTTTCTACTGCTTTCTTTTCATTACCACATAATCATTTTTCAAACTTCACTCTGTGAATAGTAATGATTTCTGCAGCTATGTACTTAGTGCAAACATATTTGCCTGAAGAAGTTAGAAAGCAGAGACTGCATTCCCAAAGTGTTCTCAGACTTTGCTGCTCTATATACATAGATGCAAAGTCTTATAATCCTGCAAACTTTAAAACTTGCTCTCAATTTATGTTACAAATTTTTTCATGCATTGCATTGTTCACTGAAGAGAAAAGCACAAAATCTAACCCCAATCCTCTTCAAGTTGGCATTAAGACTTTACTTTTCAAAAGCTTTCAATTTATTAGGGAAATGAGAAAATCAGTCCATAAACTCTTTTTTTCTAAAATGGAAAAGAATTCCCTGGAGCAAATGAGGAGCCAAAGCAGAAGTAACTTACATCTCCAGGAGGGTCAATCTGCAAAACTGCTCTGCCTCTCCAGGTGATTAGAAATTTTGCAAGGACCATCATGAATAACAATCCACTTCATAATTAAAAAGAAAAAAAAAAAAGTGCTTGAGTAGATGCAGTGTTTCAGGTGAAAAGTATCACTCCCATTTTTACAGACTTACAGGCTCTAGAGAAACATCAAATCACAGTGGTAATAAATACAATTCTTAATTTATGAACAACATTTCCCATTAGGAGATGAGCAGGATGGGGAATAGGAACCAAGTCTTCCAGATCCCGATGTCCATCACTATGCTATACCGTAAAAATTAGACAAGAAAAAATAAGCCTATTTCTAAATGTATTTACCTTTTCTGTGGTTTGCTGACATAGTTGAAAGTGCAGCACACACTCCAGCAAATTAAGATGTGGATACTTCAGAAGTGGGAGCTTTAAAATGCCTTCAGAGTTCTAGGTATAGCACTCTGTTAAATTGCCACAATCTGCAAAGGTCCTACTGAAAAAGGATTATACAAAAGAAGGAGGGTAGAGGGGGAACACCCTTAATGCTCTGATCTAGAAAGGTTTGAGGAAGAGCATATTAGTTTGTGTACTGGCAGAGCTGTGGGATGGCCAACTAGACTGAACCTATCAGGATGTGTTACAGAAGTATAAAGGTTGGTAGATTTTCCAAAAAAGGAAGAATGTGAGAAAGAAAGATTTGAGAGCAGGCTTTCATGAAATTTTCCCAAATTTTTCATCTGTAATTTGGAAGACAGACAATTCTTTTTTTGTGTGTGTGAAAAAAAAAAAAGTTTACCTATTGGGCAATTTTTATCAAATAATTTTGAAAAAAAAGTCACTTGTCAACTTTTTGTTTAATCTGTTCCATCTTTATTGTGCATCCTTTCCTTAAATCACACCTCTCTAATAAGATCAAAAGTTAACAATGGAAAAAAAACAGCGACACCAAAAATCAAACCAGACTGAATGTCCTTCCAGGTTTGTGCTTATTTCAGGAGAAATTACAAAGATTTAAAGCAAACTGAGATTTCTGGTGTACATTTATATAAGAATGAATAGCTGCCATTCCATCCCATGCCTTCTTATTGCTGACTTGCTTCTGATGTTTTAACTAAGCAGACATTAGTAAATAATAAACATTTTGTACCTATTGCACTAGAAGACTGAAGATGTAAGATTTTCCATTCTAACGATTCACTGTCTGTAATTTCTAAGACTCAAGTTCAGATGTAGTTGTTATGCAACCAAACGACAACCAAAATGACAATTCTTTCAAGTAACTGCCTTCACTTATAGCCACACAGGGCCTACTGCCCTCCACTCCTAATTAGGATTCAGAAGGTGTAATAAGCAAGTTTATATTGGACAGGTGTGAGGAGAATTAAAGAGAGGAAAAGAGAAAAATAAATTTTGACTTCCGGCAGCTATGTCTGGAGTCAGCTCACCATCTTCGGCATCACTAGACACAGTAGATGCAGTAGAGTCCATCAATCTTTATTAATGTTTTCTGTAAAAATGAGAGCACCTGCATAATAATAAATAATTACATTCCCATACCTGGTGACTGTCCGTCACCTTTTACTTTTTTAAGCCACTTCATTTTGAAAAGTCATATTATTGTTTCCAAGTGGAATTTCTGAACAACAAATCTATTCTTTTCTTTAGAAAAAAATTTTTTTCTAAAGAAACAGATGCTCACATTTTGAAAAGAATGCCATTGATTGTATAGGTCATTACACAACAGACATTTCCTCAGTCTGCTGAAATCTTTTGGAAAAATTGCTGTAACAACAGGATTATATTCAGTACCACAATGATTCTTCCTCTTTAGAAAATACCTGCCAGCTGATAAGACTATTCTTGATCAAGGTATCAACCATATCCAGGGACATCCTAAAGTGCTTCTAGAAAGAACTGTGGAGCTTCCCACAAAGGCTTCTTGCTAACAATGCAAGAAACCCAGAAGAAAGCATGGAAATGCTGTAATTAACAGCTTCAGAACGCAATATTCTACAGAATAAACATTCTCCAGCTGGAAAACCACAATCTTCAGTTTCATAGACGGCTCAAATATCAGGTGAAGGATGAGATTAAAGGCACATTACTTAGAATTAAATATAACCCCTTACCACCCTTCATCTGATAACATGGTACTGACCTTAAAAGATGGGATCCCATATGAAAATAAGCAGATTTAGCTATTAATTCTTATTAGCAATATTTTCACACTGTTAGAGAGGTTAGGAAGATTGACATTTTGAAAATTTTAAGTTGCATTGAAAACATAAGGGTCTGAAAATATTATGAATTACTATTTTGCTTTATATATTAATAATTCCAACTAAGAGCTGGCAGTCTGAGATGTCTATGTATTTTTACTCTGACTATATTCACTTTTGAGTTATTCA